TGGACTGACAATGGATGTGCAAACTGATGTATACTGGACTGACAATGGATGTGCAAACTGATTCAGGATTCAGTTTTCATCCGTTTTTTGTGTCCGTGAACCTGGACAGAACTGATGACACTCGTGTGAAAGGGGCCTAAAAAGTGCTAGGTGGAGGTTGGCTTTAATTTGTCAATGTGATGTAAATCTGCTAGTACATCTAACACTACCCTCTCCACAGGGTGACAACGCTGCTCTCCAGGGGTGGCTCCATTGCTCCTCCATAGTGTGCAGCCACCCTAAGACAGGAAGTATGTTACTGGCAGATCACCAGGTGAAAATAAAGGAAAAAAGCCCGCAAAATGAAAACTCATGCAGACACCACATCTAAGGATTAGTAAGCTGCAGTATATTATAATTGTTTTGCGGTTTATACAGTATATGCTTTTAGTCTAACACAGATAAAGCAGACCTTTACCCCCTTGTACTAAAATCACATCAGTGTGCAGCTCTTCATGTGAATTTAAAATCATCTTACATTCATTAGTTAAACAAACTTGTTTTTCATCTACTTACAAATAGAGTTTATCCACTTCCTGCTCCGGTTCTGGCACAAATGATGTAATGTGCCCAAGCGTTGCATTCTGGGAAGGTTACATCAGCAGAGCATTGCTGGGAAATCTCACCTGTAATCTCACGAGATCTCAGGGAAAAGCATTTTCCTCCCCTGAGATGATGTGCATGGTCACATGTCCTGGTCACATGTCCTAGTCACATGTACCAGAAATCCAGGAAGTAATAGGTGTGACGGACCCCCGTACTCAGGATGAGTATGACCGTCGCTGTCTTCTTCCTTGCTCAGGAGATATTGCAACCTGAAGATCCTTAGCTCCCAGTTTCCCCAGTCACTAGCCAAGGCTTGAGTGTAGGTGAAACAAACTCTGCTTTATTGAGAAACTGCACAAACTTTTATACAGCCAGTGATGAAATCAGAATATAATCCCATCACATCCCCCCTCCCCTCCCAGACCATCGGTCTGCTCAACACCACAGGTGTCCACCTGCTAACGAACTCCAGACAGCCATAGCAGGAGCTTGGCCAGAATGTCATTGTTCTGAGCTCCTTCAGAGTACGGGTTTGCTGACAGTCTTTTCATAACCAGGTCACACAGCATAACGCACTTAAACATAACTCAACACCAATACACATTTAACTTATAAACTCATCACCATGTCGTCACAATAGGGGAGCTAGTAATCTGTCCTTAGTAAACATGGCCAGTGTCAGAAGACTGAGGAACAAAAGAGATATAAGGAATGCAAAGAATATCTAGAAGTATGTGTTTGTAGATTGTCATTACTAAACATTTCTAAAGTTGTGTTTGTTGTTATAGTAAAGATACGGGTAAAGGTCCGCTTTAACTCTAATCAGCCCTAACTAACTCCTTCTTTGCCTTCTACTCTTACCTATGACTTTCTTACTGCTTTTTAAAAAACAATTTCAATTGTTTTTCACAATTTTTGTGAACGTCTTTTTTGTAGTTTTTATTGGTTTTGTTAATTTATTTTGTGTCACAGAAAATAACGTGCAATTTTTTTTTATTTTTTTTTAAAGCCTTTATTTTTTTTTGCAATGCTTTGTATTATTATAAACAAAATACATAATAATAGAAAATGTATAATATTTATCTACAGTAACGCTATTTTTTCCTTTTTAAGTAACACTGCTCAAAATGGAAGAAAAGTGCATTTTCTGTTGTTAGTTTTTTTGGTCTAAAGATTGCACAGAAAATGACCATATATTAGGAAGACAATATTATCAAAATAAAATTTGTCCTGAAATAAATCAGTAGGCCCATAGCAAAAATTTAAATATTACTGAATACCATATAAGGCGTATACAAGTATACATAAAACCTTTTTTTTTTTCTTCATTTTTTATTTGCAATCTGTGTCTCATTAGGGAGATTTTCTTTCCCTTTTTGTCCTGTAGACGCAACAGGAAGTGAGAGCATATCTTTCCAATTGACCAGAAATTCCTTTGTAGGCAGTTTTAATGGGAACAAGTGTCCCCTTCAGAAGATTTTCCCTCTATTGCTGTTCTGGTGTCAACTCAAATCTTTGCATTCATCCACACTTTTATGTGATATAACATTGGCTATCATGACATTTAGAGAGAGTGAACCCCACTAACGGGGATACAGCACTGAAAACCTGACAGCGGTTCTAACCCCTGACCTCTCAAAGTGTATGTAAAGACTTAACCTTTTCTTTAGTTTTGATGAAAATAGGGAATGGTAAAGACCCCGGGCCCTCTTTAGACAGCTGTCACCAGAACCTCATTGGACAATTTCTCCTCACCTCCTGTGATAACGACAGCAATCTGGATTTCTCATTACTTTCTGTAAGGAAGACAATGGTCACTAGGACAGATAGAGAAGGTGAACCTCAGTGGTAGAGATAAGCTTCAGGGTCAGGTCCGCCATGAGTTTGACCTGAATCCATACTGTTCGCAGTTCATCAAACAGGCAAACCAGCTATATTCACTCATGTATATGGACATCAGCAATGCACGTCCAGTGTATACAACATGGTATATGGACTCTGTGAGATCGGCTGTATAGTTATTACAGTCACTGTTGTGCACTTTGTGTTATGATGATGCACACTGACTGGATGTCAGATTTGAAAGGCAGGGTGTGGATGAGAATTACTACCTGTACTATATGAAGAATTCTGAATACTGTCATAGATATTGTTGGGGCCCCAGAGTATCTCTCTTTTACATCAACTTTATTAGGTTTCTTTTACATTTGTATTCATTTAACATCAATGGAGAGAGAGGATGGCAATTTGGAGGTGGGACTGGAAGAGTGGGGAGGACAAATTGGTTGGTGGTGGGTAGGGATGCACCGATAGAGAGTATTTGGGTGAGTACTCATACTCGCCCACAGGCTCAGATACTTACCCTTGATACCGGAACTTCTGGTCAGAGGGAGGTTTCCAGAGGGAGGTTTCCTTATATTGTAAAGCGCTGCGCAAACTGTTATGTATAATAATAATAATCCCTACTGGTGGGGATGGTAGGTGTGGGTTAGAAAAAAAAAGGGAGGGGATGGGTAAGGGGATTTTTAACGTTTGCACATGGGCATGCAAGCCTAGCAATGTTAGCTGTGTAGATGAAAGGGCAGTAAAGGAGGGGATTTGCAAGGGTGGGGTGAGTGGGGTCACCAGGGGCCACAGGGTATCCTTCAGTGATTCAGTTATTTTCCTTTGAAAAAAGTGAATGCATTTATTAAATATTGTTATTTTAGAGATAAGTTACTGTTTCCCCAGATCTCACTTTCTGTAGAACCCCCATACATAATATGGTGCTCTAAACAGCCGTGTCAATTGTTACAATATGTGGGCAACAAATGCACAACTGTTACAGTAAGCGGGCAACACATTGACACTTATTACAATACACAGGCAACACATGGACACTTATTACAATACACGGGCAACACATGGACAATTGTTACAATACACGGGCAACACATGGACAATTGTTACAATATGCTGCCAACACATGGAAAATGAATACAATACACGGGCAACACATGGACAATTGTTACAATACACGGGCAACACATGGACAATTGTTACAATATGCTGCCAACACATGGAAAATGAATACAATACACGGGCAACACATGGACAATTATTACAATACGCGGGCAACACATGGACAATTATTACAATACGCGGGCAACACATGGACAATTATTACAATACGCGGCCAACACATGGACAATTAATACAATACACGGGCAACACATGGACAATTATTACAATACGTGGGCAACACATGGACATTACAATACGTGGGCAACACATGGACAATTAATACAATACACGGGCAACACATGGACATTACAATACGCGTGCAACACATGGACAATTAATACAATACACGGGCAACACATGGACAATTATTACAATACGCGGGCAACACATGGACAATTATTACAATACGCGGGCAACACATGGACAATTATTACAATACGCGGGCAACACATGGACAATTATTACAATATACAGGCAACTCCCGGCAGCACCAAATCAGAAGTCCTCCAAGGCTTCCCTTCGGCTTTGTGCCATGTGGCAAATCAGCGCAGAAGAGATGCAGATGTTGCTACAGCTCGCTGTATACTGAGACGCCGCAGCCGGGACGGATCCCGATAATTATGTCTGGATCCACCCAGCTGGCTCTGCCCGCCCCCTCCCCCGTCCATTCCGCCAGTCCACGCTGGAGATCGGACAAGGGAAGGGGGGAATCCCTGCAGGGAGCCGTGAGTGACAGTTACAGCTCTCTACAGGGACATGAATGATCGAGAAGTGAGCGAGCGATGGTATTTGTTCGCTCACTTCCCGATCTACTGAGCCGACCTATGACAGTTTCATTGTCACAGGTCGGCTCAGATTATGAGGCCGAGTAAAAATCACTCGCCTCATAATTCTCCTTTAATGAGCCCTAAAAACGAATGCAGCTGTCACATCTAAAGACTGACCGGGTGCAATATATAAGGAGTTAGTCACAAAAGGGTGAAGAGTTTGGAAAAGGCAGGAGAAGTGATCAATCTAGGCTAAAGTAGCTGAACTGAAATATGAGCTGAATTGAGAATTTTTCTAAATCAGCTACTTTGGCCTAGAATAGATTGTTCACTCCTGCCTTCTCCAAACTCTTCACCCTTTTGTGAATAACCCCCATAATGATTGGTCTTGGGGTCTAGATACACTGTCATTGCTGGGTTGTCCCCGGAATCCGGGCATGACACGTTTACATTGCTGTAGCAGGTGTTGTCCCTGAATGCTGAGCTGGCCAATACCGAACGGAATCAGCAGACTCTTCTCTACTCCTCCAGAGTGACAGGCTGATATCACACGTGTCCTCTGTAATGAGCGCAGGCCCCGCCTCTCAGGGCGGAGGGATATTACCACCACTGGCGGATGAGTCTACTCCATTCAGAGACAGGTGATGTGGCGGCTAAGGGGTACGTGTATCAAGCGGTAGCTCCTCCCATGCTCTCTGACGTCATCAATCCCTTTCCGGCTCAAGATGGCGCCTCCCATACCGCTGCTTGCAGGTCTGTCTCATTCGTGTCAGTGAGTTATTAGGGGCGCCTGTACGGCTCGTTCCGTGGTCAGCAGTGAGACTATTAGCACTGGGCTGCTGGCCATCTTTAGACGTGACCCAGCCTGCGTTGTAGTGAGCTGCACTGTGCACGATGATGACAGCATCCCAGGGACCGCATGTCATGCTCCGGGTACCTGAGCTTGTTCTAGGTGGAAGCATGTGCGGATGTCTGCAGTTTCATAAATATTCCAAAGTCTTATAGTAGTTTCAGTAATGGAGATTTTACATACTGTCAGAGCAGAGGAGCAAATCCTTTCTATACATGCACCCCAATTTTATCTGCACCCCCAGCTCCTTCACACGTCTAACAAAAGTTAAAGGCACACTCCACCTTTTGGACATGTTCCATGTGACATCCATGTTTAGCGTGTAATATGAAACATGATGGCATCCTCCAGCCGTGTCATCTGTTCTGCCAATGAGAAGACTACGAGTGGCCCAGCGATGATGTCATCACACAAGTTTTTACTTCTTCAGTCCCATCTGGGGCTGCGAGTCAACAATGCAGGAGGCTGAGCATTGCCCCCACGAGGTGCTGATCATAGGTGCAATGTTCTGCAGGCTTCAATGCAAACATTTCATCAATGTACATTTTTTATTTTAATAATGTGGGTACATTTAAAGAGGAACTCCGGGCAAACACTGTAGTGTGGCTGCCCCCGCACTGCAAGGGTTAAGTGCTCATTTTGTCTAAGGGACTCAGAGCAGATTGACTCACCTGATCCTCCATCCCACGGACTCCCTCCGGGCTGCTAGACCGGTCCCAGCAGCCTCTTCTCCCCTGGGCTCCGGCATCTAAGGACATCCGGTCCTCGTATCTAATGCAGGACACCGAGGGACGTTCCACATCCAGAGGGGAGTGCTGACCATCCTCAGGGCTGAGGATCAGATGAGTAGATCTGAGTTATTGAGCCCCATACACACAAAAAAACAGTTAAAGGAGAACTATGAGGAGTGCTTTTCACTCACCTCATAGTTCTAGCCGACCTGTGACAATGAGACTGTCACAGGTCAGCTCAGTAGATCGGGAGGTGAGCGAACATATCCCGGCGTTCGCTCACTTCTCAATCCCGTCACGGCAGAGAGCCGTGACAGGGGAGGGACTGGATTCCCCCCTCCCCTGTCTGATCCTCCAGCGGTGACTGGCGGAACGGAGGGGGCGGGTACAGTTGGCTTTGCCTCTAGATAGGCAGAGCCAGCTGTCACTCACGCAGCTGGGCGGATCCAGGCATAATTGTCGGGATCCGTTCCGGCTGCGGCGTCTCAGTATACCGCGAGCTGTAGCTCGCGGTATTCTGAGCTTTGGGTGACGGGTGGACGCTAGTTTGTGTCCTCCCGTTACCCTTAGGAGAACTATGAGGAAAAGCCTAAAACCCCATAGTTCTCCTTTAACCCTTCCAGCGCGAGGATAGTCCCAACTGCAAGGGTAAGTTTTTTTCTTTACCCGGAGTTCCTCTTTAATCAGTTGTTTTGCAGAGGGGGTTCATATGCTTTTGAAGTGTATGTAAACCTAGAATCAATTGTACAATTTGGGTTTCGGCATAGTGGCCCATTGTATACAATTTTGTTTAAGTAATATTGAACTCTCAAACTTTTCTCAATAATGAATCCAGATCAAACAAATATACATCGCCCAGCAAAGCATTGCTTGACATGTTTGCCCAAACGCTTAGAATCATCATGTTTATGAACAGCTGCTCCCAGCTCTCTTAGCTCAGATTCCCTGAACTTCCTGTACAGTACAAGATCACAAGGGAGAGCACAGTCTCCAGCAGCCGTCCATCTACTAGCTTGCGGGGAAATGGATTTGCCTTGCCTTACCGTGTTTGTGGAGACTCGCACAGCTTACTAGCACACACAAGGGTGGCTCCTTAGGATCCTGCAAGGGAAGGGAGCCACCCTAAAATAGGATATCAGGGCCAGTACTCAGGGGACTAACATTTTAAACATCAAGGAGCAGCATCCATTGTAAGTGATTTAACCACTTCAGGACTGCAATACGTAATTTACGGTGGGCCACTGACGTTATACCAGCCATGTTCTTGGTGTCATTTTAAACAGCCGGCAATGGCTGTTAAGATACAAGCGATCCGGCGTCTATACAGCTGCTGGATCATTTGTACTGATCAGCAGAATGTGCTGCCCCCACCCCCTCTGCCGGCTTCCCCAGGCTCCACTGTCCCCCGTGCGGGTCTCCCTGCAACGATCGGAGAGAGATCAGCAGGCTTTCAGGCGCTGATCTTTCCTCCAATCACTGGATCCGAAAGTTATGGGCATTACATCACTTCCTGTGTCACTGGGCACAGTCTCTGGCTCTTGGAGACAGGAGAAGAAGCAGATCTCTGCTTCCTCAGCTTCTTTGGGGGTCCCTAGGTGACATTAGGGGTCTGAAAGACCTCTGAGGTGTCTATAAAGAGGACCTGTCACATTATATTTGCTATTACATAAGGGGCTTGTTAGCCCCCTGTGTGATAGCAATAAAGTTAGTGGAAAAAAAAGTTTAAAACATAAAAAAATGCAAACATTTTGTAAAAAAAGTCCCCGCCTTCCACTTACATACGCAAACACGTGTTGGTGCGCCTACGCACAAAAAATAAAATTGCACTACACATGTTGCATTTCGCTGCAAACGTCAGAGTGAGAGCAATAATTCTAGAGCCATTATTTACTGTTAGCACTAAACTGACGAGCGGTAAAAGCTTTTAAAGTGTTCCCTATGGGAGATTTTGGGAATTGAAGTTTTTTGTGGCTTCACGGACGAACGCAATTTTAAGGCTCGGCCTGTTTGGTATCTATTTACCCGATGTGAACCCGTCTTTCATATTTTACCAAAACATTGGGTATTAGATTCTGTTTCTGTGCACTAAATCTCATTTTTTATGTATTTTATCCTAAAAAAACAGTTTTAATAAACATTTGCCCAAATACCGTGCAACATAAAAAATTGCAACTGGCATCTTTTTTTATCATATGTGCAAATGTAAGAAATTGCTCCAGACGGCAAGTGGTTAATCAGAATTTAAAAAGGCTTATAAAATATTTGACTTTCACAGATCACTTTTAAGTAAATCATTTTTGGTGAATCTGTTGCAGAGTTTCTTACATGGAGATCCTGCCTGTAACAGAACTTCCTGTTGAAGGCTGACAACACTAAGCCACTGCCACATAATTAGCAGCAGTGTTTTGAGTCCGTCCTGCGCTCTTTCAATTGGTAGCTGGGCTTCAAACCTGATGGGTAGCCCCTCAGCCAACTTAAGGGGTGTACAGGGCATGCTGACAATGCTGCTGTTATTTGATAGGCAGGGGCTTTGTGTTGTCAGCCTGCCACAGGAAGTGCCGTTACTGGCAGGATCTCCAGGTAAGGAACTTTGCAACAGATTCACCAAAAAATGATGCGCTAAAAAGTAGGGCTGGTACTGATTAAAATTTTCGTGTTCGATTCATCAATTTTTTTTTAAATGGACAGGTGAGTGTTTTCATTAGCGATCAAAAGAATTTTAATTGATCAAAAAGTTTAACGATTAATCGAGAAATTAATCTTTAATTTCCACAGCCCTACTAAAAAGAATCGTATACAGTGTGGCACAAACCCCCAAAAATGTAAATCTATATTTTGAGCTTACACTCAATAGTTGACTTTAAGGCAAACCGCTAAATACACTGTTTTACCTGTCATTGAATTTTTATTTCTGTCTTTTCAGTCCTGAGATTACAAAACTCTGCCAGACAGGTCGTGTCCCTCCCCCAGCCTGTGACTGCATGGAAAAGCCACAGACTGATGAGCTCATCTGTCTGTCACTCTTTTCTCTCTCCTCCTATCAGCATGCTCCATGTGCTTCTTCTCCCTCCCCTAGTACAGGTCAAATTCAGCTATATTACGCAGCGTGCATTTCAAAAAATTTAAGGCTGTATTCATGAATACAGAGGTGTATTAATTTGTATCCACTTTATGTACTCGAAGATCATCTTTAAAGTGCAACTCCAGCAAGAGGACAGAGTGGAGAAGGGGAAACCTCTGTTGTGTTTATAAATCTTTATACTCCTATTAGATAGGATACAAAAAGTGACAGTTTCTGACCTGCCCCAACTGTTCATGGTGTACACTAAACTAGTATGGTTATACTGGGCATGGAAGATGGTCCTTGGAAAGTCTACTGCTGGTGCTACAGCATTCATACTGCCTTCTCTCACACTGAATGAGGGATACAGTTGCCTAAGTCTAGCTTTCTGTTTTATATTTTTTCTTCGTGACTAACATCTCATTTGTGGTGTCATTGTTTTTTCTTTCTGCAGTCCGAGGTTCTGATGGAATCCATTTGATCCAGGGGCCTCCAAAGTTTACCAACCATGACTCATTTCCACAGTAAGTTTCCACTTAAGCTTCCCCTAATAGTACATAATTTTTTTACCAAAGCTACAGATCGTATCCATTGATCCCTTGTAAACAAAGTATTTATTCACTGATACTGAAGTCATCATTTCTTCTCCACTTGCTCCTGTTTTCTGATAATAAGACAAAAATGAGGGTCTGTTAGATCATCTGCTCCCTTCTGCTCGTTATGCAGATGAAACCTCGTTCAGTGGGGGAGCTGGCCACATGCTAATTTTGGGATCTGTTGTGAGACAAAACCATCAGAGCCAGAATGGGCCTGAAATAGGCTGTTTTATTATTATTATACATGATTTATATAGCGCCAACAATTTGTGCAGCGCTTTACAACAAAAGGAAGACATTACAGCTACAATACAATATGCAATGCAGTTTCAGTACAGGAGGGTTAAGAGGGCCCTGCTCGTGAGAGCTTGTAATCTAGTAGGAGGGGCAAGTGATACAAAAGGTAATAACTGTTTAGATTGAGTTATTGGAAGAAGTAAAAGGACAGTTATGTTGAGATGAGATGGGTTTTTAGGGATCACCTGAAGGTGGCCAGAGTAGGAGATCAGTGGACAGATTGGGGTAAGGAGTTCCAGAGCATGGGGGACACTCAGGAGAAGTCTCGGTGGCGAGCATGGAAGGAGGTAATTAGAGAGCAGGAGGTCTTGAGAGGAGAGGACGGTTTGGGTGATATTTTGAGATGGGGTCAGTGATGTAGGTTAGGGCAGAGTTGTGGATGGCTTTGTATGATGATGTTAGTATTTTGAACTTTATTAGCTGGGCAATTGGGAGCCAGTGGAGGGATTGGCAGAGAGGGGCGGCAGACCCTGATCGGTTGGTAAAGTGGATGAGTCTGGCAGCGGCATTCATGATGGACTGAAAGGGGGATAGTCTGTTTAGTGGTAGGTCGACAAGGAGGGAGTTACAGTAGTCAAGGCGAGAGATTCCAAGGAAGTGAATTAGAAGCTTTGTGGTTTCATTTGTTAAAAAGGGGCGTATTTTAGAAATGTTACAGAGGTTGAGTGGGCAAGATTTGGATATTGATTGGATGTCCCCTCCCTTTTATATTGTAAGCCCTCACGGGCAGGGCACTCCTTACCATCTTGTATTGTGATTGTAATGTCTTATATTGTAAAGCGCTGCGCAAACTATTGGCGCTACATAAATCCTGTATAATAATGTGAGGCTTAAAGGAGAGCTCAGAGTCAAGGATTACACCGAGTACCCTGGCTTGCAGCACTCAAGGTTTTTGAACCAAGGAGAGGGAGACCTACAAAACCTTGATCTTTGGTAGATTGCTCAGAGCACCAAGTGTTATATGGACACGCCATTAGGATGAACTCTTAGTAAGGGTAAAGTCTGGCTTGTACATCAATGGGCCAGCTTGCTTTTGACATTCCACGGTCTGTCAGCTATGTTTCCCATGCTATAGTCCTACAGAGGCCTTTACTGGCATGTATGGCTTGACACAGAAACAGCTTGGTGTAGGGACGCAACAATAAGACCTTCTATACTCCATAAAGAACACAGTTGGCCTTTACCCTGCACAGGAGCTTCCCTAACTACTCCAGATGCATAGACTGCACTACTGTGCTGCACGTAGCCCCTCTACCTTATACTTCTACATACAGTAAATAGATTTGCTTATTTTAACTTCATGGTAAAAAGCTGAATGTAACCACCCAGCTACTGTTTCCTTCCAGCTGGCAAACAGTGTCTCTGGAGAACATTGTATAAGGATATGTTTGGATGGATTTGCCGGTCAGAAATCGCTAATATGAACTCCTATTTATGTGATTTCTGCTCTTATATTTTAGAGACAGCAGCAAAAATTGCAAAGTGTCAGCATTTACCAGAGACGGGAAGCTATTTGGCTGGTGTAATGGAGAAGCGTAAGTCTTTTTTTCAATTGGTTCTTTTTACGTGCTGGTGCATGGTTTGTGAACTTGTGCGATTTTCTTCAATTGCACAGTTCTTTGGTCATCCGTCTTCTTTTCCAAATACCATACCATTATATCAAGTATGATATTCCTGCAGTGTATTGTATTTTATTTCAAATGAAAGAATCTTTAAAATGACTTTTGCAAATGAAATCATCTTCTTCAGTTAGGGCACATATGCAGGACAAGGCTATAGGGTGGCCCCCTTTCCCGTGCACAGCATGTTTGAGACGTGTGAGTCCTGTAAGTGGTGGGAATGTCAGTGCAATATTGATCTCGGGTAATACAAATACTCTTTAAGGGCTTGTGTGCACAAGCTATTGAGATCAATCAGTGCTTTGCTTTTTATATATATATAGTCAGGACTTGAAAAATGCCTGACGAGCAGCTTCCCGGCCGGCCGGGAGCTTTACATTCAAGCGATCAGGCGTCTTTAGAAACGCCCGACCGCTTGTATAGGAGTAGCTGTCACTGCCGGTCTTGAGATCCGCTGTGCCCGATGCAGCCAGGACCGGCATGGCTGCTCTGTGATGGGAGATCAGTACACGATCTCCCTTTGATCTCCTCTCAGTTCCCGAATGCAGGAAGTCATGCATATTACATCACTTCCTGCATTCAGTGTCACTCTCCAGCTACAGAAGCTGATGAAGCCGATCTCTGCTTCATCAGCTTCTCTGGGGGTCCCTAGGTGACATTAGGGGTCTTGAAAACCCCTGATGTCTCCATAAAGAGGACCTGTCATGTAAATTGGCTATCACATAGGGGGCTTCCTGGTCCCCTATGTGATAGCAATAAAGATGTTTAAAAAAGTAATACAAAAATTAAAGAAGCATAAAAAAAAAAAAATTCAGTACCCCACCCACCACATACGCACGCAGATATGCGTCGGGTGCGCCTACGTGCAAAAATGACGATTGTGCCGATCATGTTACATATCGCCGCAAATGTCGCAGTGAGAGCAATAATTTTAGGGCCATTATATACTGATAACACTAAACTGATGAGCAATAAAAGCGTTTTAAGCGTCTCCTATGGGCAATTTTCAGTGTTGTCGTTTTTTTGCGATTTTGCTGGCGCACGCAATTTTAAGGCTTGACATGTTTGGTGTCTATTTACCCGACGTGACCCCGTCTTTTATATTTTGTTACATTTTTCGGTACTTTTTTTCATTATAGAGTAAAGAATTTTAATAAAAAACCCAGTGGTGATTATATACCACCAAAAGAAAGCTCTATCTGTCCCCCCAAAAATGTTAACATAAATTGCAATGCTATAGTCCGGTCATGCTGACTGGTGAGAAACCCAAAATTTTTCAAGCCCTGTACATGGAAAATGGACAGCAGCAGCAAATCAAAGGCCCATGCACACTAATCCTACAGTACAAATCGGATATACTCTCACTTCCTTTTTCTTCCCTAGCAAGTAGATTTTTTTTTTTTTACACATAGTGACACAGGGGATTAGAAAAAGATTTGGGTAGCAAGACAGCTGAAAATAGCTTTGGATGCTTTTAGACATTTGTGTTAAGTAGTCGTATAAGGCTTATAGAATGTGTTCCTGACTACTTGTTTGGAAGAGATTCACAAAACATGCTGATGTAGCAAAAATGTAGGTAAATGAGTGAGCATGATGACGAGGGAGTATGAAGCCGGCTTCCCGGCCAATCAGAATGCCGTGTGCTGCGTCATTACCCTGTGCCCGGCTTCCTGATTGGCCAGCTTCCCGACCAATTAGGAAGCCAGGCAGCGAGTCATTACACGCTGCCCGGCTCCCTGATTGGCCGGGAAGTCGGCTCCATGCTCTCTCATCACAAGTGACGAGAAGGAAGCCGGGCGGCGCGTCATTACACGCTGCCCGGCTTCCTGATACAGGAAGTATCGGGCTAGGCATCGGAGCATCGGTATTGGTGCATCCCTAATTATGATGATGATTATTTTTTCATTAACATCTCTGTCAGTTGTGGTTTACAATCCAAACAGGAAAACAGATTTGGTGCTTTCGGTATGTTGTACAATCTTCTGTGTGGAAATGTCAGCAGCAGGTGAGCTGACATGTTAGTGATTTCAAATTGGTTCAAAATCATTTATTTCCTGTTTCAGCTTGCTCAGTCATCCAGGGTGTTTATAAGTTTTGCATAGATATTTATTATTAGGATTATGCTTAAAGTGTTTGTCAGGGCAAAAAAAAAACATATTCACTGCATCTCTGCAATACAGGCATGTGTTTTATCCCTGTAAGAATGCAGGAAGTACAGAAAACAACTTGACCTGCCAATAATCCACTGTTCTCCTGGCTTCCTGTTTTGCCTTTTCTGAATTGAAATCCCAGCCAGTGTTTTCAGCCTTGCCTACTGTATTACAGCACTCCATCTACTGCATGGATGTATTTTCTTTCCCAGAAAAACATTGCTGCTGCCTTAACTCCCAAGAGTCTGCACACACACCAGGTTTAGAGAAGGGGGGCCTGGTAGATGTAGTTCTGGTGTATACATCAATGGGAACTGAGCTGTCTGCAGCTGCTCCTGCAAAAATGTTTCCAGCCTGGTGATGTCACAGGGAGTAATACATTTTTGTTCTCCCTACAGGAGCCAGGCAAAAGAAAAAAATAATGCTGGGACATGCTCTAGAGGGGTAAGGGAGGTTTAGGGGTAAATGTAAGCAATGCCCGGACATTCATATTTACAGTTCTTGATTGGAAGATAGTACAGTATATAGGATGCCTATTTCTTAAATGGTTTGATTCTCCAGAACCAAGTTTGGTGGGTTGTAGTAACATCAGCTTTTTGTGACTCCCACCCCCTTGTATTTTTAATTTAGAAGAGACCTTAATATACTGCTCTATCTCATCCAAAAACACTTGCATTCCCAGAATTTCCTTTCTTTTAGTGGAAGAGAGCTAAATCTAATAAGGACACTACAGGGAAAAAGGGTTGACGGCTCACGTTAAAATGAATTTGACAGCATCACTACTTGTCTTGTGAATTTGCATACTCTGAATCACTGTTCAAGAATGAGTAATCTGCATTTCATACTGCATAGGGTGACCGATTCTGGGAGCGGCTTTTATAGTCAAAAATGTGAGTCACTTGAATCTGTGCTGATGGAAATTGGGACTTTGTGGAGTTGTCTGTGTGGCAGTTACAACAATTGGATGTATTTCGCTTGTAGTAGCTGGCTTCATTTTTATTTTCTAGAACACTAACTAATTGTTACACAGATGGGTCATAACCTTTGTAATGTTGGGTAGCTCACAGAGCACTTGCACATGGCTTTTCCATAAATCAAAAGTCTTTATTTTTCTCTTCAGGAAACTCACAGGTGAAAAACACAAATGAAGGCTTAATCTCGGCATGTAAAATTGAGTATATTGCCTCACCAACTGAAGGTTGTCCCGTTTACTCAAGTGTCCCAGTCCCAGGACTTTAACGTTTGCCTCAACAAAATGCCTCAGTGGTACTTCATACCCTTTAGCAGCTTTCCACACACCTTGTGTGTCTGGCTCTCTCACCCTATCAAATCCTCCAGCCTCCCTGAAGGCTCCTCCACACCACCTGGCTTGGCCCTCGTGTGCCTCCACCACACTCCACACCACCTCTCCTCCGAGCTCTGGTCTGGATTCCTAATGAGGCTCTCAGCCCAGACTGGTCGCTGGCAACACCTGGCCCCAGGGCTGGAGATTTCATCCCTCCCAGAGCTTTAGGAAATCTCCAGATTCCAGCTACAATTAAGAAAACCCGGAAGAATCTGAAAAGCCAGGTTCTTCCTTATAAAATGGTTTACACTCTGGACCCTCGCATTCCCTCTGGCTGAGAGTCCTCTGTGCCAAAGTTGCCATACTACACCGCGGCAATGCCTTACACTGCCACTCCTTGCTACCATTTCTAAATACTATACATAAAATATATACTTGAGCATATCTGTTCTTGCTGTAGGCTAATAAGCTATTAATGTGTACACTTAAAATTGAGGACTCTTTAAACAGTGGACATAAAAGAATAGCACTGCACTATAGAAACGCTGCTTAAGTGTATACATTTGTTCAAATGAAGCATTATAATTCAGTAACTAAAGTTGTTTTTCTTAATAGCCTCTACAATTTGTTTTAACTTTTTTTTTATGTTCCTTTTTTGTGTTAAGATCTACTTTTCAAATGACGAGCTACATGAGATCTACCAATTAAAAAAAAAACTCCCTCGCGCTCTCTCTCCTGGCTGTCTCTCCTTGCTCATCCTCCTGACTGTCTCTCTTTTCTCTCTTGGCGGTCTCTCCTTGCTCTCTCCCCTTTCGGTCTCTCCTTGCTCTCTCCCCTGGCGGTCTCTCCTCGCTCTCTCTCCCCTGGCGGTCTCTCCTCGCTCTCTCTCCCCTGGCGGTCTCTCCTCGCTCTCTCTCCCCTGGCGGTTTCTCCTCGCTCTCTCTCCTGGCGGTCTCTCCTCGCTCTCTCTCCCCTGGAGGTCTCTCCTCGCTCTCTCTCCTGGCGGTCTCTCCTCGCTCTCTCTCCCCTGGCGGTCTCTCCTCGCTCTCTCTCCCCTGGCGGTCTCTCCTCGCTCTCTCTCCCCTGGCGGTCTCTCCTCGCTCTCTCTCCCCTGGCGGTCTCTCCTCGCTCTCTCTCCCCTGGCGGTCTCTCCTCGCTCTCTCTCCCCTGGCGGTCTCTCCTCGCTCTCTCTCCCCTGGCGGTCTCTCCTCGCTCTCTCTCCCCTGGCGGTCTCTCCTCGCTCTCTCTCCCCTGGCGGTCTCTCCTCGCTCTCTCTCCCCTGGCGGTCTCTCCTCGCTCTCTCTCCCCTGGCGGTCTCTCCTCGCTCTCTCTCCCCTGGCGGTCTCTCCTCGCTCTCTCTCCCCTGGCGGTCTCTCCTCGCTCTCTCTCCCCTGGCGGTCTCTCCTCGCTCTCTCTCCCCTGGCGGTCTCTCCTCGCTCTCTCTCCCCTGGCGGTCTCTCCTCGCTCTCTCTCCCCTGGCGGTCTCTCCTCGCTCTCTCTCCCCTGGCGGTCTCTCCTCGCTCTCTCTCCCCTGGCGGTCTCTCCTCGCTCTCTCTCCCCTGGCGGTCTCTCCTCGCTCTCTCTCCCCTGGCGGTCTCTCCTCGCTCTCTCTCCCCTGGCGGTCTCTCCTCGCTCTCTCTCCCCTGGCGGTCTCTCCTCGCTCTCTCCCCTGGCTGTCTCTCTTCGCTCTCTCTCCCCTGGTGGTCTCTCCTGGCTCACCTTTTTGTATTTTGCAACAGGCAAACTAGTATTCTTTGATGTAATACATAGCACTTCAACCACCAGTATCCACCAGAAAGGTGTCAGTGAGCTTGGCTCAGCAGACTCAGGCTAATAGGTAATCATGTGTGCACAGCTAAATAAATATACCAAAATGGAATAAAGGGGCCGCCATTCACACCCTTCGTGATCTACCTGCATCAGCTTTGAGAGCTACTGGTAGATCACGATCTACCTAATGGTCACCCCTGGACTACATAATGGAGATGAGTAGAGGCGTGGGGGTTTTATATTAATTTCCCAGTGTGACAATGCTGCTCCGTCATGGAAACAGCAGAGTGAGTGTATGTTGTCACCCTAGATCGGGAAGTGTGTTACTTGCAGGATCACCAGGTGAATGTAAAGGGGGGAGAAAAAGAAATAATTCAGCCACTGCATCACTATATGACATATTCTTGGGTTTAGATCCAGTTTGTTATGACAAAGTTATTGCCAAATCAATAAGCCCATAGCTGAAATGTAAAGAATGGTCTGATTAGTCCGTCCCAGGGTTACACAAGGATTGACGTTACTAGAAACCTGACAGCGATGGGTGATAAGAGAACCAATAAAAAAAAAGAAGAAGAAGAATCACAGTGAAGTAATATAGGCTAAATAGGCAGTTTTCATACTGGGCAGAACTGAGGAGCAACTGTGTCAACAAAATGTTAACTGCAACGTGTATGTCATTACATAATGGCTTTTGATTTTAAAAAAAAGGGGAAATGTGTGTTGTGTCATGTAGCGGCGGTGCAGTGGTCAGAGACAAATGAGAAGCGGACAGGTGTGAGAATTGTTGGTGTAGTTTAATCATTAATCTGTGAAATCTCAGTGACTCCAAATGACCTTCTTGTGTTTTCAGAATAAACATAGTGAACAGTGCAGACAGCACGCTGCTGCACACCTTTGATCTGCCTAAGGTCATCAGCCTTGAATTCTCTCCAAAAAACACAATCCTGGCAACATGGCAGGCCTACACAAGTAAGTAAATATCGGCACAATCCATTAAAAAATTGGTGACATTAGAGGCACAAAGTGACTCGGAACTCATCAGGCCTTATTTACAAAAAAAAGAGGGAAACACCACAAAAAAATGAATATAGCATATATAATAGCTATACAAGCCATTTTGTAATCTTATTAAAAAAATACCTTTTTAAAACTGTGGCTGCTTTAATTTTAATTCCAAAACTATCAAATTCAATGCAATATTTCTACCTGGAGGCAGAAAACCGAACGCCCCCAGAAATGTTACTTCCTTTTGTGATTGGCTGACTGATTTTCCCACATGTCTGCACTAAGATACACATTTTAGGTATCTCTAGCAATAGGAATTTCATATTTGGTGAGATACTCTCGAAGGGTTAATTACTACTAAAGGAATGCAGATACTGCAACTTTCCTCATTATAGCACAGAAAGTCCACCAGTTGATTATAACGAATACAAACCTTCCCATTAGGGAATCAGTTTGGAAAGGACATGCAGAAACAAAGAGCTATTTTTTTAGAACAGAAACAGATAGGAATTCATGACGACAACGTTTGTTAAAGTCCTTGTAATGTACATTGATCACTCGGAGGGGATTGATTTCTTTTTTTTCCCCTCAACTAATGTGGAGTTGCTCTCTAAAAGGGCAAACAGTATATTATCCATGGAGATTCTAGCTGTTATTTTTCTAGTAAAGTCTGAAAATCTTGCCTCTGTCTTTAAACAGCAGCTCCAAACAACAAAGGAACTGTTAATGTTATTCTATAAATGTTACCAGTATGCTGATGTGTCAGAAGCCTGTTTTTATAATTATAAAATCATCACAGTGCTGCTCCTAATAGGCAGCGGTTGCTGTGTCATCTGTAGCAGGGTTACAAATAACACAGCCCCCTGACAAGAATTCTGGGCTGTGGATAACTCCCTCAGAACTATATGTTTCTCTTTACACAGAGGGCTGGTCATGGATTCAAGGTTGGAATAGTTTTTTTTTTTTTTATGTCTTAATAGTCTACAGGACCGATAGGTTTGATCCCCTATATTTGTTTAAAGGATAAGTTCACTTTTAAAATGTATGTAAATCCTACAAATGACCTTTATCTCATTTGCTTTCCTTTTTAGTCTGGTGAATAAACCATTGTTACAATTGTGTTACATTTGTTTGCAAAGTGCAACAAAAATACCTGTTGATCCTTTCAGACATTTAGTGAGCTAATAACCTCTTGTACACTCTACCTGTGCTACACTGTTGATCAGCCCTGCCCCGTTCTCTCCGTGGACTAAAGAACATCTCCCCTTTTTTTTTATGGAGAGAAGTGGGGAAGGTGTCATCTTCGAACAGGAAGTGTTAACGGCAGAAACACAAGGTTAAAATAATGGCGAAAATAAAAGCCTGAACAATAAAACCAATTGCAGTCACCAAATCTGGGGTTCGGTAAGGTGCAATTATAACATTTTTGTTCCTAAAGTAGAATTAAATCTTTTTTTTTTTGCATATTTCCATTGCTAGCAAGCAGTAGATATGTGCAAAAACATAACAAAAAGATCAACGTACCTGTGTTACTGCCGCTCGCTCCCGTCCGAAGATCAGATGATTCTCGAGGAGGATGGGGCAGGCGCATGTGCAATACAGATCTTCGGCCAAGAGAAGAGCAGAGACACAGTGTAAGTCAATGCATGCAGCTGGCAGCATGCACGTGCATAGACACCATGGGACTCTGAAGACACAGCAGTCAACGCTGGATCAGAGACCGGCACCAGCGCTGGAGATAAGATGGCCGGATCAAGAGGCATCATTTAAGGTAAGTCCTTAGAGCAGCATGGGGGGGGGGAGGGGGGGGGAATTTGACTTTAATGTCACTTTAAGCTTCGATATGCTATAATTATAATCACATAGTGCAAATGAACTAGCGCTTTCGGTTTATGCTAGGTTAGGTGTTCCTGACATGCTTTAAAAATCTGGTTCACCACAGACGATAATAGCCATCTCCTTCAATAGCATGGCACATTTACCATTTGCAATAAAAGCCGGGACTTTTAGTCAGCTTGCTCCACATGAATCAAGGTATTACATCGCTGCTTCACAACCATGCAAGTTTACGTGGGCGTTAATAAATGCCCTTTCCTGCTTCCAGGGGGCACACGAGATTGGGAGCAGGAAAGTTTGGAAAATTCAAGCCCTGGATACATACAAGCGTCCAGACTCCACTGTCCTCCATGCAGGATCGGAATTGTGGATCTCTATAGCTGGATGGGAGAGGCAATCAGCACATTCATTAATTACATCACTTCCTCTTTCAGTCTGTCATTTCTCTGGCTGCTGTAGTCAAAGAAACAGCAGATCTGTGCTTCATCAGCTTCTTTGGGGTCCCTAGGTGACATTAGTGGTCAAATAGACCCCTGATGTCTCCATAAAGAGGACCTGTCACTGTATACATGCCATCACATAGGGGGCTTATACATTATTATTACCCCCCCTATGCGAATAAGCATTGTATTCCTTATTAATAGCAATAAAAACAAACAAAAAAGTTTAAAAAATAGACACACATAAAAAAATGTTTCAGGGCTTGTTCACACCAGATCCGTACTAGAACGTTTTTTGTCCGCACCTGAAATGCATCCCAATGTATTCCTATGTTATTTCTGGGCTCTGTTCACACCAGTGAAGCAATAAAATGCTGCATGCACTATATTTTCTGGTCTGGAAAGCATCAAAACTATATGTAAATGCGCTGAAAGGCACCTAAAAGATAAATGGGGGGGGCGCGTTTCTCCTGGCCCATGGGATTTTAAAGCAGGACCACTATTTAAAAAAAATTGATTGTTTCTGGTCAATACAGGTAATGATATCATGCAGTATATTATTTTTGGTTTTCCACATTCCTTTATTTGAAGACCAAGCTAACCAGCAAAATTGACAGAGGTTGGCACATAGTATGACACCATCAAGGATGTTTGTGAATCTGCAACCAAATTATTTAAGCCATGTGAATAAAAGGTAGCCATTGTAAGCACACCTGGCAATGACATCATTTATTCTAACTGCCATCACTGTCACTTTTTTTAAATATAATCTTTATTTAACATATTATAAAAAACATGCATTTTAAACAAGTAGACCAACACTCATTCCCAACATATACTAGAATCTTAATGAAATAAGAAAACTTTAAATAAAGTATATCCCTGTGAAATATAGCACAATCAGTCAGGTCACAAAATAAACCAAAATTAGGAAAAAGAAAAAAGTGTCCAAACGAAAGGGGGAAGTCACTTTTGCTAAACATGCATATAAATGATTGCTGCCGCAAGACAGATCTGGGTGTCAGTCCTCCAGACCTTGCCAGGTTCATCATGAACAATACAAACACACACAAAGAATGCATGCAGTAATCTTTTAGTTTAGGTGGGTGTTTATTAATTTGAAAGAGCACCATATACAGCCAACGTCAAGCAGAAACCTTGTTTTACACTACCAGTACTTACTCATAAGGTTTTTTGTTTTTTTTAAATTAAGCCCTGGTAGTGTGAAACACGTCAAGATTCTGCTTTATGTGGCCATTTGAGACAAATTACCCTAAAAACATTCTATCAGAAAAAAAACTACCCTAACCAGATTCACCAAAACACGCACCAAAAACATTCCACCAACTATAAATTTCAAGCAATTATGTATTTGGATAATTTTCCCGACTGATAAATGATAATGCCTCTTATGATTTGTCATGTGAATCTGGCCAAACTCAAAGGGCAATTGACCATAAACATTCCACGGAATGGACTAATCAATATTCGATGTAGCAATAGCCGCCGAAAAGATTTTAATAGAACAACATTCACTTGGATGAGACAGTAGTTACATTCAAATTTGCACCATTCCTCCAACAGCAACATTCACACAAAACCAAAGAACATACATTTTTGCCCCATTCACACAACAGCCACAGCTTTATACATTGTATGAAAAGTCCCTAAAACGAATACGGGAGTGCTGGTTAATTCACACAGAACGTTCCAGTGAAACTTCAGCTAATACTCGAACAGCTATGCAAATGGTTTGTTTTTTATAAATAGACCCGTTAATGATATTTGTGTATAAATCTACGCTTCCTAAAATGTTCTCTGTTTGCTCCTATAACAGCTGGGAAGGATGGCACGGCCGGTGTTCCCAATCTCCAATTGTATGACCTGAAAAATGGAAAGTGTATCAAATCCTTCATCCAGAAAAAGATGCAGAATTGGCAAGTATCTGGGCCAAGCAGCATGAGAAATGTTATTATTAGGCTGTGTATCAGTTCACAATATATATTATATTTTATTAGAAGATATTGCAGTTCCGGAAGTATTTCCATGAAAGTGAAGAAACAATTCCCTAATCCTAACTCTTTGGATTACAAAACTTCCTTCCCTCCATATCTGATGTCAACTCTAATTTAAATTAGAACTGAATCCAAAATTTCCTTTTTTTATTCTTTCGTTTTTTAGTTTTGGATAGAGTAAATGAGGGAGGGTTATAACCCCTGTCTGCTTTTTTCACCATCAGTGTCCCATTGTGATTTCCTTTTTTGTTAGCTACAACAGGGAGTGAGAGGAAATCCCTCCAAAGAAAGGGAAATCACTGGTGGTGTCACCACTGAAAGATTTTCCATCTATACCTGTTCTGATGACAACTCAAAATTTGGGATTTTATTTTGCTTTCTGTGAGAACAACCACCACTGATGACAGTCCAGTCAAAAGTCGCAGACAGAGAGGGTGAATCTTCCTAACAAGGACACAGACAGCAATAAAAACCTGGTCTAATCCTTCTCCACTCTATTGAAGACTAAAAGAAAAGTTTTGGCTTCAGTTGCACTTCAGTAGATCATTTCAATACTGAATTGATCTATTTTCACAATTTATAGATTACTGACTGTCATCAATTCTGTCCCTGCTTCAGAAGCTACAAAATAGCCATTGAGAGAACACATGACTGTTGAGCTTCTTTCCTTTCGATTTTGTTTATTATTATTTTTTAATTTATTAAACATTAATGTTGAGATATA